GATGCAGGATCCACATTTTCTAACAAACAAACAAACAAACAAACAAACAAACAAACAAACAAACAAACAAACAAACAAACAAACAAACAAACAAACAAACAAACAAACAAACAAAAAGATTTGTCTGACATTAGAACAGTTCTCCACTTTGCCTCAGTCCTTTTTAAGTGAGCTTTAGCCCAGAGAAGACGGCTGCATTTCTGGATCATGTTCATGTATGATTTTCTTTTTCGCATGATAGAGAATTTAAATTTGTGGATGGCACACTGAACCATGAAAAACTAAGTACATGCTTACTGTTGTGGCGAGGTGGTCAGGGGTGTTATGATTAAAATGCAACAGCGCCACCTAGGGGAATTTCAACCCTAGGAAATATAAAGAGAGTGTGTTTTCAGACTAAACAAAAGAATTACATAGGCTTGAAGAGACATTGCTGAGGCAAATTGGTTCCAGTATTAAAATGCCTTTATTAAATACATTTGTTAAAAGACAAAAAAAGGGTTAATAAGCAATTGCAGCCCAGAGCACAGTGAAAGTTGACTGTGGCACGGCCTCAATAGTGTCCTCAAGTGTCCTATTATTTTACATTTCCACCAAATTATGTGTGTGTGTTTTAACAACAAAGAGAAATATAAAATTAATGATTTCTAAACTCAAAATAACCTGTAACCACACAGCTCTTTACATACTTTAGAATTTAGTCTGTGCAATACTACAAATTTTTGGATTCAAAGATTCAAGAAAGTGTTTATTTTCATGTGTACAGAAGGAATAGCATTTCTATGTGCAAAATGAACTTAGTGTGCAAATTGTCCTTATATGCAAATTGCAGTTGAGGTAGGTCAGCTGTTCAGGTGTCCGACAGCAGTGGAAGAAGGAGTTAGTGAGTCGAGATGTTCTGGATTTCACACTCCTAAACCTTCGTCTCGAGGGCAGAAGTGTGAACAGTCCATGTTGGGGGTGTGTGGGGTCTCTAAGGATGGAGGCAGCTCTCCTCTGGACTCTGCGATGGTAGATGCTCTGCAGAGAGGGCAGCGGGGTCCTGGTGATCTTCTCCGCAGTTGTTATCACTCTCTGCAGGCGCTTGTGGTCCATAGCAGTAGTGCTGCCGTACCATGCAGTGATGCAGCTGGTCAGTGTGCTCTCCACGGTGCAGCTATAGAAGCTGCTGAGGATCTTGGCTAACATCCCAAATTTCCTCAGCCTCCTCAGGAGGCTTCTTGACCAGCTGTGTGGTGTTCAGTGTCCAGGTGAGGTCTTCACTGATGTGAATGCCCAGGTACCTAAAGCTGCTCATCTGCTTTGTTTTATCAGTGTTGAGGGTGAGGTTATTGTCCTCACACCATGACACCAGACCGGCCACCTCTCTCCTATAAGCCGCTTCGTCCCCTCCAGTGATGCGACCGATCACTGCAGTGTCATCTGTGAACTT